CCATGGGTTTCCCGCCCCTCCCCCCCGCGTCCCCCCCGGATTTTTATTACCGACAAGCACAGCGAAGGACCCCGGACCCCCCCACTTTGCACTTTTGGAGGGGGGGGGTCTCCTGGGCCCCCCCCACGAGGTTGGGCGGGGTTGGGGGGTGGGGGTTGTTTTTTGGGGGGGCGGGGCCGCGTCTTCCCCCCTCCCCCGGCGCCGCTTTTCTCGTTCTTCCAGTTCCGTTCGCGTTTTCCGCCCGTGGGAACCATTTGCACTATGGGGGAGGGGAGGGGGCGGGGCCGGGATCCGGCCAGCGGCCAATGGGGAGCGGCGCTGCTGAAGAGGGGGGCGGGGCCGAGGCCGCGGCCAATCAGGGGCAGGGATCCAGCGTGGAGCCAATCAGGAGAAGGGGGTGCGGCGTCAGGGGGCGGGGTCTGGTGTGGAGCCAATCAAGAGGAGCGATGGGTTCAGCCGGGATGTGGGGCTGAGCCAATCAGGAGCTGAGTTGGGCAGGGGTGGGATCCAGTGTGGAACCAATCAGGAGCGACTGAGGAGGAGGGGGTCTGGTGTTGAGCCAATCAGGTGTGATTTTACTGGGGGTCGGATTTTGAGCCAATCAGCAGCTACCAGTCTGTGCGGGATCTGGTGTCTGCAGCCAATCAGGCAGGGCAGGATTGGGAGGGGGCGGGGCCTGGCCTTTGGCCAATGGGGGCGGCTCTGTGGGTGCCGGATCTGGAGTGGAGCCAATCGGGAGAAGCGAGATCAGACTTGGAGCCAATCAGGAGCAGCCTCGGGTTCAGCTGGGATCCAGTGTTTGGCCAATCAGGAGCCGCGATCCGGAGGGGGAACAGAGGGGGGTGGGGAGGATTCTGGATCCCCCCGCACGGAGGCGTGGTCGAGTCATGAGCCAATCAGGGAGCGGGTAGGGTCGGCGCCGTCCAATCAGAGCTGAGATCCTGTGGGGGCGGGGCCGGCCCTGGCCCCAGGCGACTCTGGGCGGGGGCGGGGCCCGGCCGGGATCCAATCAGGAGTGGTTTGGATTGGAGGGGCGGGTCCGGCCCCCGCCCAATGGGGTTGCTCGGCCCTGGAGGGGTGGGATCCAGGCGCGGCCAATCAGGACAGGCCGTGGGAATGGTGGGAGCCAATCAGGAGGAAGGGTGGGATCCAGGTGCGGCCAATCACGAGTCAGAATGGGCGGAGCTGGGATCCAGTCTGGAGCCAATGAAAATTGAGGGTGTGATCTGGTCAGGAGCCAATCAGGGGCAAGAGTGGGACCGGTAAAGAGCCAATCATGATCGAGCTGGGCAGGGCTGGGATCCCGTCCAGAGCCAATCAGAACTGACCATGGGTGGAGCTGGGATCTGGTACAGAGCCAATCAGAAACGCGGGTGGGATCCGATCGGGAACCAATCAGGAGTGAGCTGGGCGGGGCCGGGATCTGGTCTCGAGCCAATCAGGAGCGAGCACGGGGCGATCCACTTCACCCTGGGGGGAGGGGGGGGGGGG